GTGCAGAACACGACCATTCGTTTCGCCGCTTCATTAAATTTCAATACTTTCTCTTGATCTTCTGGCGACTGTGATCCGTAGAGTGGAAAAGCGATACAGTTATCGGAAAGTTTGGATTTGAATGTTTTGAGTGCTCTTCAATTTCTCCTTGACCGCGAAGAAAGACAAGTGTGTGATGACGAGGGTAGAGTTCGACAACTGACGAGCAAGCCAAATGTTCAGCAGCATACTAAGGTAACTGAGTGCTCTTACCGCTGCCCGTCTCGGCTGTTACAACCAGAACACGTTCGCGTTCGAGGCGTTGACAAAATTCAGATCGACAAGCGAGGATAGACGATGGAGCTTTCTCGTGATCGATTATTCTTTGTTCAAGAGGTTTTAAATACTGCTTTTTTGCCTCTTTCTTCTTGTTATTACCGCTACCGGCTGAGGTTATGACAACGGAGGAGGTTGTCGCTTTCTTTCGAAGACTGACGATACGCTCGGGTGGATCAATATTAGAGCAGTGACCGTTTTCGCAATCAGCACCCACTTCACAAGGACTACAATCTGGTCCATGGAGGCGAATACAACTGAGATTTGAACATTTGTCAAGCTGATCACATTTCACTGGTCGTTCAGGTGGATGTTGAGTTTGCACGTGAGATCGCGACAGTCAGCCCCAACCTGACAGAGCAGTTCGATAGTTCGGTACGTAGTGGATGATGCAAGCAGAAACACGCTAAATTCGTACAATTCTCTCTGTCCGCATAGGATCGAGCTCGAGAGTTTGGATGAATCTTCGGAAAATTCCATTTTTGGCGCTTTGAAAGTAATAGGCACTCTTCGGCGCGCGTACTTGGATGTAGAAATTTACAACGAGTATTTTTACAACAATCATTGTCACGACATTTTGCCCTTCGACTGAAGGGATGATTGGAAATACACTCGTATTTGTCACATTTTGCTCCATCATTGCAAGGACTCCATCCGTCCGGATGGTCAAATGTACAATCGACTTTAACCCAGTTGATACCATTACGACACGGTTTCGCTTTGACATTTATCGACTGAATGGAATTCATCGACCGAATAGAACTCTGCGACGCGCATGAGTCACTCCTAGGTCGGACTTGCTTAGGTACAGACAAGCGCGTCTGATGCTCCTCAAAATCGGGTGTGAGCGGATTGGCGGGTGGAGGTAATGGTGAAAGTATAAGAGAAGTCTTTCATTGTGCATGAGCGAGAGGACAGTCGAATTTTGAACACCAGTCAAAGTTTTGACACCTTGCATGACGATATTTGCATTCACCATCCTTATATCGACAGATTCGTTTATTCGTAAAAGGACAGGGTGGACGTTCGTAGTCGGTATTTTGCTCCGTTATCGAACCTGCAGTGGATGGTCCCGGAATCGCACAAAAAACAGCTTTTTTCATTTTAACAACATAAAACAGGCAGGAAATGGCGTTTCCCCTCATCCTCAAGATAGTTTTCCAAGAACCCGATCGACGAATCTTACTGTATAACCAACATAACTTATTCTAGATTCCAGGAATTTTATAATCTCTTAGTCTCACACACAGCGTAGAGGGCAGACCCTTAGATAACGATGAAGCCTAGGCGATCATCGCTAACGATGATCACGAAGTGACTAAAAGCTTTCGAGATCAGATATAGCCTGTAAGGTAAATCCAATGAAGTACGAAAAATGCCGAAATGTTAGGTACTCTTATGGTTTCAGCCTCAAGGTCATCATCTTTACTGCATTTTCCGAATGTTGCAAAAGATTCAGAATCAGATGAACAGAAGAAATCAAATGAACATTTTTCGGTCTCAAAGGTTTTCCGTGAATAGCTTTAATGGTCATCAGCATGCCTCGAAAGTTTCGACTAAAACTAGAAATGACATTTTCCCGTTTCTTTCCGGAACGGTAAAATGGTATGACTAGTTTTCAACCTGGACAAAGTATTTTCAAATAATATAGTTCTAATACATCATTTTCATCATAAGGACTACATAGACGATCACGTAAACATAAAGTCATAAATTCTGGTAAATTTTTCAGTTTCGATATCAAATCTACTATACAATCCATTTTACACACATTCTTCATGACCACTGATT